TCGCTCCTGTCGTAGTTGAGTGAACCATTGATCGAATCATGGACAACTGAAAAAGAACGTGACATGAATCTGAGTGTACGCTGCCTCTGCTCACTTTCTTGTCGCACCAATCGCATGTACCTGAAATGCGTGGAATATGTGCCCTGCGCCACTGGAATGTGCTGGCTTCATGTGCCTGCCATTCTGCTTTGTGAACTCTCCCCCAATGAACTTTAATGTATTTGTGATCGGGTTGCCATTGACGACAAATCGCACAGTGCTGCAATAGTTCCTGCTTCAACTCTTCGGTTAAATCATCAAGGCTGAGTGGATCCACCCGAAGCTGTCCTTCCCGTACCCGCTGCAACACCGATGGCTTGGATGTTGTGGTGCTGACCTGAGTGGTGTTATGACTTTGTTGACAAAAGTTTCCTTCAACATGTTTCTGCAAATCAGCCCACCGCAAGAACTGATGCCCGCACATATAGAGCACTTGGGCATGCCATCCACTCCGTGTCGCTGCCTGTCGAACTCTGGTGCTGGGGTTTGCCTTCTGGTGGTGCTGTGCATTTTGGCCTTGTGTGCACGCAACGAGCCGAAGTCACCGAACTCAGCATGACAAAGGTCACAAACATGTACTGCTGTGGCGCTGGCTGGTTGAAGGCATCGATCCTGAAACAATTGCCGCAAAGCCCGTTCACGTTCTTGCACAACTGAGCAAAGCCGCGCATCCTCGATAGAATTTTGCCAAGTTGTGACGTTCGCGCAATCGTAGCCTCCAAGCGCTGTTGTACCAACTTTGCCGGTGGAGCTAACCCGACCTTGTTCCAGAATGCTCCATCCGATTCGGTGATGACTTCATCTCCTTGTTCTCCACCCATCCTGTGCCTTGGACTGCGAGCTATGGCCCGCGCTTGCTTGGTCAGCATGACCCGCAACAACTCAAAGCCCTTGGGGAGAACACCAGAGGCAGTGATCGAGTACATGACGGTGGGGATAACTATGGCCTGCCACAGTCGTAACCGCTTTTGTAGGGTAGCTGCCTTCTCTGCCATAAGGAATTTGCGCACTCGTTGAAAAGCAACCTTGCCTGCATGGACCCTGTGTTTCATGTTCTTGTGCTCAAAGTCATCGTAAGTGATACACGCCCCTAAGTACACATGCTCTTGTTTGAGTGGTAATGTGTACTCAGCACTCAATTTGAGCACTCGGCCATCCTTGGTCATCTCAGTGATCTTTCGCTTGATAGTCGGCGCCTGCACACCTTCCAAGCGTAGTAAACACACGGTTTTGTCACGGCTGAGCTGAAGTCCGACCCTCTCCAGAAGTTGTAGTACACGATGAGCCTGCTCCATTGCCTGATGTAAGTGTGCAGCTTCGGTGACATCCCATCGCAAATGTGTATCATCTCAGTGGCATTGTCAAGCAGCATTTAATGCCGTTTCTTCAGCCGTGGATTGAGGCCAGAAACCTTTTTGGATATCTCCCCAACCGCTCTGCACAACAGGCCTTATGTATTGTTTTCCAACACTGTGCCGATGTTCGGGAACGTGCAAAAGCTCAGGGCCGTGATCTCTACGCCATTCGCCGAGGGCAACATAGAGGGGGCTGTGCAGGAGGCTTACAAGTGAGCATTGACTTCACTCAGGCTTTCGATCGTGTGAATCGTGACTTGCTTCACTCTGCCCTGTTGTTGATGCGAGTTCCAGAGGACCTCAGATGCTTGATCATGCAGTGGGTCGAGTCTACCACCTTTCATGTGACACAGGATGATGCGGAAGCAGAGTTTTCCTCCACCAGAGGAATAGGACAAGGATGCCGATTATCACAGTCCTTGTGGATGTGTGTGTCGGTGTTTTTACTACATCTCATTGAGCAGGAGATGGGGCCAACCTGGTGCAACAACCACCTGGTAGGATTCTTGCCTTTCCAGCCGGCTCAAGGAGGGAGATCGGCCTGAGGTCCCCAGGCTTGTTGCCAGCTTTATTGGGTTTATTAAGGAACGTGAGCCAGGAAGCCGACCAATCCTCAAAAACCTCGGCAACGTCCTTATGCCATGGAGTGAGTACCTGCTCTTCCAAGAATGCTGCTGCAGGTTCAGCCGCGAGTTGCCACATCACGTGGGGTGCGCAATGTGCGGGTGCTGCCTTGTCACCCTTCAAGGATCGAAGAGCATGTTCCAGTTCCTCGTGCGTCACATGATATGTGTGCTGTGGTTGTTGGTTGCGCGGAGCCTTGCCATCTTCACCTGCGCAAATGTCTTTCCAGAACGCGGCCAGTTCCTTGACCTCTTCAGCAGGACAAAGCAAGCGACCCGTGGGCGCACGCAATTGCGTGCGCTTTTTAGCCTGCTTAGGCGCCCACTTCTTGATCATCGCGAAAGTTGTCGATGACCCATCCGCCTTGTCGCAATGTTCTGCTGCGGTAAGCATCTTATCAAAGTGATCTCGACGTAGCTGTCGGCTATGCTTTTGCACGAGTCTATGAAGTCTAAGGAAAGCTACCTGATGGCGCCACGCCAGCAAGATAGATCTGGTGCCCGGGAGGCACCTCCGGCGCTTCATCACACGATAATGTGTCCACATCCGCTTGATCAAAGACGTGTGCTCATCACCCGCCCAAGCCGGAGTCTGTGGTCGGGGCCTCTGGATGTCGAAGACCTGTTTGCCCACCTGCAGCAATAGTGCATTGAACTGGTGCGGTTGATAGTCGATCTCTGCCTCGAGCTGTTCCTGCACTTTGGCTCGGAATTGAGTTGCCAGGTGTGGCTGCTCCTTCACCGCCTGTTGAAGTAGCTTGCACTTCCACACCGGCCACTCCCTAGGGGTCTTGCGAACCTGATGCAAATAAGGCTTGAGCGCGGCCGTGACCGTGACGGGTAAATGCCGCCCTCCATCTCGCCAACGCCCGACCTCAAAGTTGGTGAGCATTTTCGCTGCGGATGCCCTTGACTGGCTCTTGCGAAGCAACATGAAGTCTACAAATGATCTGCGTGGTACCTTGTAGCCCTCGTGAGCATAAGTGAAAGTCGCCGGCCTACCGAACGTGTTCACTGCACACAAGTTGAAGTCCTGCACTAGCTGTTCCAAGCACTCTGAGTCTGGTGATGCCTGATCCTTCTGCAGCATACCACGACCTAGCCAGGGAAGGAGTGCACGTGTGGTTGTGTTCAGGTCGCCACCGGCTATCAGGAAGTTGCCCTTGGGGATCTGACCCAAAGTATCCCGGACCTTGTCCTAGATCGTGGCCCTCTTGGTGACCAGCTTCGCCTCGTCAGTGGCCAGGCCCCAGCTGTACTGATAAATGCTGATCACATTGACCCAGCCTCCCTTGCAAAGCGCCTGTACGTGTAGTAATCTGCCTGGCGCTACACTGTTAAAACGGACATGAGACTGATCGAAAACATCCTTGCGCAGCAAAACCATAACGCCTGCATGTGCTCTGGATGCTCCCTTGCCGATGCCCGAGTTAATGCAGATCCAACCCCTGTCAAGAAAATCCATGTCTTCTCTGTACCAGGTCTCTTGCAAGAGCACAACTTGATAATCACTGCCGTGCTCTTTTAGCCAGGTATGAAGCTCATCCTTGAGATTGCTAAGACCACCACAGTTCCAAGAAAAAGCCCGCAATGAAAATCTGGATCCACTTTTGTGTCGTGACCTGTGTGTTGTCGGAATCTGCTGCACATCTGTGTGCACGTCGGTATTCGGAACATAAGCCTTGCGAAGAGCGGCCAAGCTGAGCCATTGACCCCTGTACCAAGCACTGCCATTCGCTGCTGCCCTGTTCAAAGCGCGTTTGTAGGATCGTTTTCTTGCAAAGGATAGCGTGAAACTGTTAAGGCCTGATGCACAATGTTTCGCGACTGAAGAATCGACTCTTACCATCGCTGTCCTGTCGCTCCCAGGAGCCCCGTGCACAGACTCCAAACCCTCGTCTCTGCTGCCAGCTGAATTGCCCGTCTTAGGCCTTCGTGAAGCAGCCCGCGGACTTGGGACCGCGGCGGCCGATGCATTGTCCCTACTGTTTGCTGTGCCCACTGTACTCATCTGCATGCCAAAATTGCCATGTGAGATGCTCGACATGAAAATCCAGAAGAGAAATCCAAGCATGAAAATCGGCAATGTGAAAGGAAATGCAAAAGGGAAAAGTCGACGTGGAATACAGCAGCTGAAAACCATGCGCTCTACGGCAAGCTACAGCTACCCCACCCAAACTCACAGCAAAAGTGCTCGGGCCGAGAGAATTTGGTATTTTGCCTATCAGACATGTCGTCGAAACACGTCAGCTGCTGTACCTCGGTCATCTTGCTCGCCTACCCCCGCAACGACTGGAAAGGCAGGCATTGTGGAGCTCTCTGTGGCCTGAGGCGGAATGGAAGGGCAAAAAACTGGCCCTACTCTGCGTCAGGCGTACTGGCGGCTTCTTCGACAAATCATGGCGTTTTCCTCATTGCCGGCGTCTGATTGGTCCCAGCGTTGGCTGGAGGTGGCGGCCGAGCAGGACGGGACGAAGTGGAGGTGCATGATGCGTTCTTGGGATAGGAAGTTCCGTGCCAATGAAACGCAGTACGAGTGGGCCAACAAGCATGCTCCTGATGGTATTGCGGCAAAACGGAAGGAAGCTGCAGCTGAGCGGGCGCGGCAGGCAACAGGGGCTATTTTGCAGCCTAGCGGCCTCTACCTCTGCCCGCATCGTGAATGTGGCGTGCAACTGCGCCTCAGATCGATGAGATTGCATGTCAGTGCATGTGAAAAGCTGCCCGAACAAGTTCGTCGCCAAAGGGCCGTACAACGTGAACAACGTGGCCAAAAGCAGCAGGAGTCCCGCCAGGCCCGCCCCGAGGTGATGAGGAGGAGGCCAGCTTCCCGCGGGCAGCCAGCTGTTCCGGTTGCTCCACCTGAGGACTCTCAACGTGCACAGCCGCCACCTGTTGTCATGCGCAGATACAAGTTGCAGGTAAGCACCCTCGCCCAGTGGATTATCCGAGAGATGCTGCTCCCGCTTGGCCGCCGAGGTGGATGGAAAGCTGGCGGCGTTACCACAAGTCCAAAACTTTTGTCGACAAAGCCCGGCCCATGTCGATCACTGACTTGCCCCAGCCGAAGCGTGGTCGTCACGATCCTGCGGATCCCAAAGTGTGCTTCTGGTGTCATGAGGCTTTTCCGCCCAACGCCAAGTGTGCTCAACATACCCGCTGCTGCAAAAAGATGAGCCACGACAACTGGTTGTACCGTACCCAGTTCTTGATGCAGGACTCAGAGGAGGGCGACTTCCCTGGTCCTCACTGTGGCACGCGTTTTCCATTAGCAAAAGCAAAAGGAAGGCACTCTGTCACATGTCAACAGCGCAGAGAGGCAGAGGGTCTTGCATTGAATCTTGGAGTTCCCCATGACATCGATGTCACGGCCATTCGTGTCTGAGCTTTCTTGTCATCCTGAAGGCCGTTGGATTCACGAGCTGGGCATGCTAGCCTTGTTGGTGGTCTTCTGGTGCCATGGCAGCTGCCTTGGAGGCAGCCAAGGCGTACACTGCCTCGCAGAACGGGGGTGGCAACAAGAGGGCCCGTGGTTCGGATGGAACTGCACAGTTGCCAGGCTCGGGCAGCAGCGGCGATGCAGAGCTGCTCAACCAGTTGTTGCGGTCCCACCTTCTTCAGGACAATCTTGTCCAATGCTACCAAGCTTTGCTTGCTCATCAAGGCATCCGAAGACCAGGAGGCTGTCAGTGGTCTCTTGGAGAGCTACCACGCCAAGCAGCGCGAAGTCCAGCTGTCGCCAGAGCAGCGTCGCAGGGGCGAGGCTGCGAAGCCTCACGAGTGGGGGCCTCGCAAGGTCTTTCTCTTCGCTGCGGTGGTGGACCGCCTCATGCAGCAGTACGGCGACGGTGCTATGAAGACGGCGCTGGAATACTTCAAGGAGATGGACCCAGAAGATCTAGATCTTTTCTTAGCATGTGAAAGAGCAGTCCTTGTATGTTTATCCGGAGGGTGAGCCTACTGGAGGACGTCGTCATAATCGAATTAGACACGTGTATAGACAGAGCCGAACCTGTGGTCTTCGCAATACTTTGACCATAGCCATGCACAACACACAAGGCATATCTTGGCACCGTTTGGAGCATCGAGACAAGCTACTTTTCCTTTTGCAGTACATGAGACAGAAAAAGCTGGACATGATCTCGCTTAGCGAAATGCATGCCACCCAGGGCCCATGTGTGGTCCATCTTGAAGAATTCGTTTTAGTTACCAACAACACAAAGCTGGATGGTTGATGTCGCTTGAGATGTACTGCCACTGGTCCCAGTCGCAATATAAGCGTTGGGATGGTGGTGACGACATCTGTGCTCTACAGATTCCTATGGGTGATCGAGTTTCTATTTTTGTGTCCGTTTACATGAGGCCATCAAGCTTGGTAGGAGAGAGGAGACGAGCCCTAGAGGACCTTGATGTGGTGCGCAAGCGTTTCCCTGCTGATTCGGTTGAGGTGCTCATGGGGGATTGGAATGCGCACGCAGGTAATGACTTTCCTGGCGATGCCGTGCATACAGGACTACATGCTCTCCCCACGCCGACTACGATGGGAGGCCGCGTTCACCGAGCTTGGCTGCACACCACGTCCTTGTGCATGATAGACATTTTCAATCCGTCAGCGTGCAGAGCCACATGGAGACACAATGTGACAGGAAAGCTCTATGAAATTGATTTCATATGTGCGTCAGAGGAGATCAGACATCATCAATCACCGGCGACCTTCACATGCAAACAAGTTGTCATGCATCTTTCCACTCCTGGCAAGCATCAACTGCGTGTTCGTCGAAAGGAGCGCTTTCGTCATTTCCAACGCTGTAAGGAGCTGCAGCAGGCCGAAGGTCGACCCAATGTACATGCATTGCGTGGGCCCTCGGACTCAGCTGGTTGCAAACGGGCACAATTTCGGGAGTATGTAGAACGGGAATTGGAGCGCCAGGGGGAGCTGTATACTGACGGCTCCCATGGCGCGGCTGGCGCCGCCGTCTCAGGGTGGGGTCTCCTTGTGCTGAGTGCGACACACAAGGAGTCCTACTACGCTCCTGTTTGAGTTGAGGAAGCTAGGCCAAGCTTTCATGGGGCGGAGGGTCACTCCAACAACGTGGCCGAATTGGAAGCTATTGGAGTGGCACTCAAGTGGTTACAACGCTTTGGCACTCCTAACACGAATGTTCGCATCCGTTATGATAGCCAGTGTGCGGCCAACATGGTGCCGTCTTTATGGAAAGCAAACATACACAGTTGGTGGCTTGGGTTCGGGTTCAACTTGAGCATGTGAAGCGCAAAGGGATTCACATTCAATGGGATTACGTGCCTAGCCACACGGGTGTATGGGGCATTGATGAACTGGCCAAATTGGGCGCTCGTGGGAACAGCTGTCGTTTTGAGGATCCAGTACAGGCCAAGTCATCGGAGCTACTTGCACATTCCCGGCAGCCTCCACGGCGGAAGCGTGCAGTCAAGAGTGGTGGTCCTTGGCCTCGTCCCCCATGGGGGGACGGTCAAGGTACTCCGTGGTTCCTCCTTGGCCACCAGGCGGAGCCAGAACTTCCCGCACTTGATTGGGAAGGCCTCGCTCAGGTGCATAGCGACGAAGACCTGGACACGTTGCACCAGCTCAGGGCCGACCTCAATGCGATGTGGGAACAGATCCGGCAGTCGACTGATGAGCAGGTGACCCAGGACCTCAAGCGCCAACACAAACTGCTCAATCGTAGTATGCAGCGTTTCCGGGTGCAAGCCCGAGGCCGCTTCGTCAGATCGATTTGCAAGGAGGCAGAGGAGCACATGCATTTTCATGATTTGGGCAAGTTCTACCAGTCCCTCAAGAAACTGGGAGTGCATCTAGATGGGCATACACTTGAAGGCAAAGTGACACATGGCCTTGCTGACGCGCGGAAGCATTGCAAAAGCATTGGCAGTAATCTCGTGCCAGTCGCCGAATCCATGCTTGATTCAGTTCCACGGGGTGAGGTGGCTCACTGGCTTGGAGCCACCCCCACCGACAGTGAAATAGGACAGGCTCTTCGTAAAGTTCGGGATTGTGCTGCTGGTCATGATGAGGTCACGGCAGGCATGCTGCGTTGGGCCGGCCGAAGGGCCCAACATTGCATACACTCTCTCATTCGATACATGTGGCAAGCACCTGCTGCGGACTGGGGAGACACCGCGCGCCTTGGTATTGGATGTTACATGTACAAGCAGAAAGGGTGTAAACAAGACCTGTCCAATTACCGCGTGATCATGCTCCTGTCTGTGCTTAGTAGAGCTCTTGGCCGACTTGTGGCGGAAAGGCTGCAGTCTTGGGCAGAAAGGACAGGTTGGATGCACAACTTCCAATGGGGCTTTAGGGCCCACAGGAGATGCACTGACCCTTCGCGTGTGCTCACGTTGATTTTGGAAATGGCGAGTTCTTGTAAACCACCTGCCGATGGGACAGGGGATCCATTGGTGTTGATCTGTTACGACATCATCAAAGAATATCCTAAGGTCCAAAGACATCTCGCATGGCGCCTTTTTCATCGGTTAGGAGTCCCCGAATCCAAGTTGCGTGTCTTATCTGCCCTGCATGACTCGACCTGCTACCGGATTAGACAAGGCCGTGAACTCAGTGACCCTTTTGAATTGTTGATTGGATTCCGAGAGGGGTGCCCAACGTCGCCCATATGCTTCTCGATGTTCCACAACTTTGCTATCAGTCGGTTCCTGGCCCTGCCGAAGCAACGAGGTGATGATGGAATGCAGTTCTCGGTGAACCAAGGAGCCCAGTTTGACCTGCGCCGTTGTCTGCAAACGACAGGACCGAGTACGATGTACCTCAACCTCCTCACGGTCCTGTTCGCGGATGACACCACAGGCATCACACGTGCGTCTTCCCCGGAAGGCTTCGAACAGGATATGGCTACAGCGTTGGGAGACTTTGTTGAGACACTTCATGCAGGCAAGACTCATCGTTTGAAGGCAGGCTTCGCACCACCTGCTAACAGTGCCTACGATGATGCAGTTCGTTTTCTTGGAGTGTGGCTTCAATGGGATGGAAAACATGATAGGGCTAGGGACACCCAGGAACATCTTTCTGCAGCCAATAAGTTGTGGGGCAAACTTTGCCGCCAGTTAGGGCGGTTGGGCCTTACAGTGAAGGACAAGGCTAAGGGTGTCGTTGTCAAAGCAACTGTCTTGAACTGTCTCCTGTTTGGTTGTGAGCGGCGAACTTTTTCCGGTCGTCAACTTGCTGACTACCAGAACCTGATGAATAGAATCACGTTTGCCATCTGCTCTCAAAGACGCAGAACACTTGCGCAAGAAGTGTGGATTGTTGCCGGTGCGCCACATGATTGAATATAAGCAGTTGCAGTACCTGGGCCACCTGGCAAGACTGCCCGAGTCGCGCTTGGAACGCCAATTTCTGTGGGCGACTCTGTGGCCAGAAGCCGAGAGGAAAAGCTTCAAAACGGGAACGCTCCTACGCCACACGTATTGGCGGCTTTTACAGCAAGTGATGGATTTTTCCGGTCTTCCTCAGGATGGCGCTGTCTGGAGAGGACTCTTGAAGCAGTGGCACAATACTTGGATGAAGAAAGAAGCTGGCTATGAGTGGAAGAACAAGCATTCTGCTGATGGTCTGACAGCTGCGCGACGAGCCGCGGCGGCTGAAAGGGCTCGTCTTTCCACAGGTGCTCTGCTTCAGCCTACTGGGAAGTACCTTTGTCCGCATTCCGAATGTGGTGTTCAAATGGAATTGCGGTCTCTCAGACTGCACATTCCTGCTTGTGCGAAGCTCTCGGAAGGTGCTCGTCGCACGCGAGCAGTTCAAAGGGAACAGCGTGAACACAGAGCAGCTGCGCGTGCCGACCCACAAGTTCGTCGACGACCGGCAGCCGCCCCTCAAGCAGCACAAGTCCAGGACGGGCCTCCGGCGGTTCCTCCGGTACCCGGTCCGTGTACGACGACTACGCCGTAAGCAAGCTCGCCCGGCTGACTTCCCGAGACCTCCAGAGGAAGTTTGGCCCCAAAGGTGGATTGATCAGGAGAGAGATTACCAGAACACTAAGGCCGATGTCCACCACAGATCTGCCTGCTCAGACGTGGCGGAGCTGACCCTGCCGATTCCGAGACGTGCATCTGGTGTTTGGGCACCTTCGCGGACAACGCCAAGTGCACCAAGCATATGCGATGCTGCCCTGCCATGACATTTGACAACTGGATTAACTGGATTCACAGGATTCGCTTCTTGAATCGGGACGCTCAAGCTGCTCAAGCTGCTGATTTAGCATGTCCTCATTGTGGTTCACTTTTCGTGGTACCAAAAAGCACGGGGTCGTCATTCCGTGCAACGCAAAAAGCGCAGATTGGCGGCGGGCTTGCCTACAGACATGAAAGTCTGGCACGATGTTGACATCTCGCAGCTGCGCATTTGATTGCCGTTGTCAAGTTGGCTTCAGCATGCCATCCGTAGTCAGCGCGGGTTTTCCCTTGCAGGTGTTCCTCTTGTGGCATGGCGGCCGAGCACCTCGCGGCGGCACTTGCGTACGGCAACCCTGTCCAACAAGCGCCAGAGGGACGAGCGAGGTCAACCCTGGCTCGTGCGGAAGCCTCTTCGTCGGACGCAGAGCTGGTGACCAAGCTACTTCGTTCACGCCTCCTTCAAGGCAACAGTGTGCAGGAGCTCCTCAACTCGGCCAACCTGTGCTTACTTGTCAAAGCGGAGGAGGACAAGGCCCACCTTTCGCGTCTTCTCGAGGCCTACCACGCGAAGCAGCGCGACAGTGCTCTCACCCCGGAGCAGCGTCGACAGGGACAGCAGCCGAAGCCTCACGAGTGGGGCCCACGCGAAGTGTTTGTCTGCAGTGCTGTGTTAGAGAGGCTTGCGGCGAAGCTGACGGATGGCCCTGGCAAGGAGGCTGTCACTGCACTCGCGGAGATGAGTGCAGAGGACATGGAGCTCTACCTGGCCAACTGTGGTCCGGAGCATGCGACTCCGAAGGAAGGGCGTCCGTGGAAGTTTAAGGTCAGCTTGACTCCGCTGGCACCGGACAGTTTCCGTATGCATTGGACCGTCTTGTGCAAGAAGCTGTCTCGAAGCAAGGACCTTCAATGGGTGCTGGAGCCGATGCGAGCCCCGCAGACTCAGGTGCAGAAGGAGCTCTGGGAGACGCTGAAAGCGCGGACGGCGTAGGACAAGGGCACTGCTGCTTTTCTCCTACTGGAAATGATTCCTCATGGACGTGCTCCTCTTTGCTTTGTGGCGACAGCTTTGTGACCCAGCTTTTTGCATGCTCCAGCTACGATTTTACAATGGTTCTCTCTGCTTCCTCAGATGTCATCGATATAGTTGTCTCTGCGGGATTGAACAGGGCCAGCAGTTTTGGCGACGTGGTCGCTGGCCAGCCTGTCATGCAGATGTGTGGCCAAACGTACCACTCTGGCCACGTCTTTGCCAGGAGTGGGACCCTTTTTTCCATGGCTTCGATGTCGCAGGTGGGGTGCTAACATGGAAATCAGATATATGAGCCTTTCCCAGTGTGTTAA